CTTCTTGCTATCGCTGTGGGAAGATTCAGATACAAACAACATGTTTCATAAAGAACAAACAGTCCAGAACAATGAAAAGTTCGATCAGTTCTAAGCTAGGAAATGATCATCATGCAGCATTCTATCACAAGTAAACTTATATCATAAAAAGCTTATACTGACTAAAGAAATACAATATTCTATTGACACTATTGTAAACAAAATGTGCAAATTTAAGACTTTTAACGTTTTGTCTGTAGTGTAATTACTTTGTCTACACTTTTCACTTCTTTTCTTATTGTTCAGTGAGAGACACTTAAACAGGTGCATTAAAGTCAAGTGAATCCCCTCACTGAGAGATCGGCATCATGTTTCCTCACATATGAAGCTAATGAGCTACAGAGAGTCAGCGTCCTCTGAGCGTGTCTCCTGATCAAAGTCCAGCAGTGATACTAACTCCAAGTCTTTTGTGAGCAAATCAAAAGTGTAACAAACTCTGTTGCTCTGACAACGTTTGTTAGTTTAGTTACACCATCGTGCTGAGATTTTAGCAGGGACACCTGCTGCTGTAACACAAACAGAACACACCTGTGTGGTTTCTGCACTCATTTCAGTCACTTTATAAGCACCTGCTTCTCTGTCAGATGTGGAGATACATCAGTTGTAACACCTGCCAGTTTACAGCCTTTCTTACCTTCACGAATATATCCCTCCCTCTTAAAGTCTGTCTCATTCTGCCTCCTCTGTAATCCCAAACTGTCCCACATACAAGGACAATGATCTGGGTTGTATCGTGGAGTTCACAGATCTAGGTTTGTTTTTCAACTAAAGCTCCAGATTTCCTCCAACGTCCTTGATGATTCTTAGTTTGCACATTCTCAAAGTGAACTAAACACTCTTCCATGAATTCTCCAAAACGACTTGTTGCTTCTGCAGCTTTGCTAGCAAAGGTTCAGACGCCCGTTCCTGCGTGTTTAGCTTCATAGAGGCTTCTGAACTTCTAAGCCTTAAACTCTCCACTAACCAATCACACAGCTTTGCTTCAGTAAACAAACACATCTGTGAAAAACATCAGTTCCAGAGTGTTTATAGTGAACCTGCGTTCACATGCACACCTTGAACTGTCTGATGACGAGTTTATCAGAGTGTGTTTGCTGCCTGAGACGAGACACACTGACGAGGCGGGGGGAGGCCTGCGGCCGCTCGGGTCCGTTTTGATTTCTAGACTCGTATTTTGAACTCTCCGTGTTTGTGCTTTACCTGCCGGGCTGTTGAAGCCATCATCATCATCATCATCATCATACTGTGTAAAAACCACAGTTGCTTAGAAAGCGACTTACAATGTACTCCCTGATGAGGCCGTTGCTCTTGTCGGGGGGACTCCAGGAAACCACCACTGTCCCATCCACACCATTATTATCACAGGACAGCTGCAGATTCCTGGGAGGGTCAGGCACTAAAAAACACACACACGCACACTGGATGAACTCCATTAACACCAATATTCATAAAACTGAACATCACACATATTTAAGAAATTTTGTAAATGGCAGTTTAGCCCAGACAGTCTACCCGTCTCTGAGGGGCAACCGCTGGACCACAGTCTCCACCACAGGGTGGACATATGGGGGCAGCAAGAGATCTGCACCATAGTTATGGGGACGGTGATGGAGAGCTAACACGAGCAGGCAAACAGCACCAAAAGCAGAGGGTGAGGGACAGAAGCATCTGGAGGCAACAGCACTCCACAGGTTTAACCACAACTTCAAATTCAAACTTCGACACAGAGCTGACCCTCTCCTGGGTGAGCACTGCTGTGAAGGAAAGTAGTGCTGGGTTTCTAGCACAAGGCTTTATGCAGGTTCTGCGTTATGCAGAATTGCATGCTTATGTATGACTTTTGCTAGCATTGCATCTGAGAGACCAGGAGTGTACCAGAGAGCGCAAACACATCCAGGTTTAAGTTAAAATGAGCAGAAGTCAGAGCTGCTGTTGGAACCTGGTGTAGGGTGATCACGTGATACTCACATCCCTCTGGTGTCCGGACTGTGATCACCTCATTGGTCTTGTGCAGTTTGCTGAGACACTGAGTGAGCACCTTCACCTGGTACGTGGTGTCGGGCTTCAGCACGGTCAGTTTGTAGCTGGTCTTGTTGCTGTGGGTATCCATAGGGGTCCACGGCAATGTGCCCACAGGCCTTAACACAAACACGAGTTCACAGGTCACACTGGCTCTTTAATACAAACCCTGTTACCAGCTATAGTGGAGTGTAACACAGCTGGCTGACAGCAGCGGGACTCCAGGATTACTGAGCAGCTTTTACCTGTAGTAGATGAGGAAGGAGCAGGAGTCCTGGGGAAGGTTTTTAGGCCGGGTCCAGGTCAGAGTGATGCCACCCAAGAAATCTGGTGTCCACTGGAGGTTCTGGACTTTATAGGCCAACGTGTCCGCTGCCAGAGAGAGAGGCAAAGTAGATTCTGATGTCTGAATATTTCGACATTAACATAAACTGCAATAGTCGACAACCGGCAGCAGCTGGCAGCATTGCACTGGACAAGCAGGCAGATAGTTTCTGTCATTTTAAATAAAGCAAACTAAGAATGAGGTTAGAGTGGACCTACCGGTGCAGCCATCTTCATCACTGTGGTCGGAGCAGTCCAGGAAGCCATCGCACTTCTCACTGTCCAGCACACAGGCTTCACCATCAGAACAGCGAGTCCCATTAACACAGGACAGAGGACCGTGGGTGGCTGCAGACACACAGAGGCTTTAGATGAAATGCTTGCTCACTGCATAGCCTGCATGGAAGCATGATGCTCATGACATGAAATATGAACACCTGAGATTATTATCACAGCAGAGCTTAAAAGTGCCATTACACAAAACTTTAGTTCCAACTTCCTGTTTTATGAAATGATCAAATATGGTTCAGCTCAACACGGAGATTGTCCCATGGTGCATTTGCAGGAAGAAGTATTGAAACGAAACTTCTGTACTCCACAGAGAGGATTACGCCACGGAAAAGCCCAACAGAGCGTCTGACAGGCTTGAACTCGTGAGCGAGGCTTTGGGTGAAAACTCGGCGTAATCCAGCTAAAAATCCTTTCGATTGTCTTCATTTAAAACGCCGTCTGTTATATGATCGGTCCTCCGTGGTCCGAGTTCTGTGTGTTTGTGAGACAGTATTTTGCAAATGCATCGTACAGATACTCACGGCAGTGTGCTTCATCAGAGCCATCCTGACAGTGGGCGTGTCCATCACAGCGCTGCCAGTCGGGGATGCAGCGGGCGGGGCGCTGACACTGGAACTGACTCCGGCTGCAGCGATCGGGCGAATGAGGGTTCTCAGTGGGTACCAAGGCAGGAGTCACAGAGCCATTAACTGCTGTCAGGAGAATGAGAAGCAAACAATGTTAATCAGCATTATTTCCTGTTATATGAAGTGTGGACACACATCTCTAACCGTGGATGCTCATTACTGAGGTTACAATAACTCCATCCATCCATTCGCTTCCGCTGATCCTTTTCAGGGTCGCGGGGGCGCTGGAGCCTATCCCAGCTGTCATAGGGCGAGAGGCGGGGTACACCCTGGACAGGTCGCCAGTCTGTCGCAGGGCCAACACACAGGGACAAACAACCATTCACACTCACATTCACTCGCACATTCACACCTAGTGGCAATTTGGAATATCCAATTAACCTATCCCCACAAGCTGCATGTCTTTGGACGGTGGGAGGAAGTACCCGGAGAGAACCCACGCAGACACAATAACTCAAATAAGCAAAAAGTCCAGGCTTCAGACAGTTTTGTGTATTTTCAGTTCGTGGATGTGTGGATGGGCTGGGTGAAGTTATGTGGGCTATTTCAGGAAGATGTTCATTCAGTTTGGCCAAAAGCTGTAAAATATAAACTATTATGTCTTCTGGAAGAAAACTTGGGCCAATCAGCAGCGAGAATCAGTACCTGTCGGACATCCAAACTCGTCGCTGCCATCAGGGCAGTCAGCATAGCCGTCGCACACCCAGGTGTTGCTGATGCAAGCTCCTGAGCCACAGTGGAAGCGGTTGGGCGCACACGTGGAGGGGCCGGGGGCCACAGTGTGAGGATCTGAACCACCTGCAGTGATAAGACGCATAAACTGGTTCATTCAAGAAGCAAATTTGAAACCCCGATTTACTCAGATAGAAACCAAATACTAGAAAACAACATAAAATAGGTGTCCATGCTAATAATCAGACAGGATGGTAGTGTGGCTCTTCTCTTGGACCTCCTCAGCCTCCCAAAAACATACATGGGAAACCTAAAGGCAGGAGATTGGCAGGAACAGCCCCTACAGCAAAGAGCAGTGGCAACAGATAAAGATCCTTATACACATTTTACTCATGTTTATGTTCACTGCTAGTTTTGTTAAATCGGGGCGGTGAGCTGCTCGAACTCTGAGGTTTCTGATGGAGCTCGACTGCCAGAACTAACGATGTCGTACCTGAACATATGTATTCATCAGACCAGTCCCCACAGTCATTCTCCAGGTCACACTTCCACCACGTGGGGATACAACGCCCATTTTTGCACTCATACTGGAAATACTTGGAGCAGCCTGGGACCTCGGTCGGAGCAGCTGCAACGAGCAGAGAAACAGTCAGCCTCGGATTTTGCTGAGTAATCATAAATGTACTTGGTCCTTGTGGGGAAACAAAAAGTTTGCAGGAGTACAAATTAGGGATGCAACGATACCAATTTTTTCAAACCAATACGATGCCGATACTTGGATCTGACTACTTACAGAGTACAAAAGCCGATACTTTTAACCACACACACATAAAATTTAATCTCTGCTGATAAAAAATAAAATCTTAATAAAATGACCACAAAAATAAAATTTCACATAAAAAATAAGCACTTCTGTTAAATTATTGCGGGGTGTGCACATTGTAATTCAACAAAATATCACTGAACTATTGGCACTGTCTCCAGCTTTCAGAATAATAAATAAACACTTCTGTTTGGAATAAAATAAATACAAATTGTGAAATATCAGTGTCATTTCATTCATTTCAAAGGTTTATTTGCATGACGCACAAACAGACACAATTGAAAGGTACAAATGTGCAAGAAACGAAATCAAACGTGCTGCAGATGTGTGTCACAGGCTGATCTGGCTGTAGGCTGTGGCACTTGGCCAGAGGTGGCGCTGGTTGACTCGAGTCCATGTTAGTGCACAAAGTAAACAGCACGCTGTAGTTGTGAAGCAAAAACGCTGAATTCGGAGAAATAAAACGTGCGAGGGGAACGATAACGACGACAAGAGTCTCCCGATCGTTTACTCTTTGTGTCCTGTGAACAACAACGGCGTGGTGTTAATTGTTTGCTGTTTTCGCGATCGCGTCGCGCATGAGGATATCACCAGGTAAACTCGCCACATTTTAAACATTTTGTTGTTCAACAGCATCAAGACTGACGGAGTGTGTTTGAGACAACCTCACAAGTGTCACAGATGGCACATTTGGCGTTTTTTTGCTGGTTTGTCGGTAGCAGCTCCTGAAACGCAAGACTGCCACACATCTGTTCGACCAACGCCAGTAGATCTAAACGCCAGTAGATCTGGAACACCGGCATTGGCTGGTCATCCAGAGCGATAAAATGAGTCAGAGCCTGTGTTATTTTAACTGCCTGTGGATTTTCTCTTGACATTTTTCGTTGCTTTTCCAAAACCTGAGTTAAAATTGGCTGACATTTTGTTTAGCCTAGCTACAGCAGCTTCCAGTTTCTCTTTTTTATCTGGAGCCGCCAGTCTCACTCGCCTAACCCTGTGCCTTAGCACGACATGTCCCCCTAGTGGCCAATCTAAAAAATTACAACAGAAATGACCAGCCACCCTCTGACTAATGAAATAAGTTGGTATTGGTTAACTTTTACGAGTATGAGTACACACACATTTTACAGTATACCATCGGTGCATGCCTAGTACAAATATAACTTCTATATTCAGTGTGTGCAATCAGTGCATTTGTTCCACATGATTCGATAGTAAACATTATGTGTGTGTGGGGGGGTCTGGGCATTTCTCCATAAGCTTTTCATCCTCACCACAGTTGGCTTCGTCGGAATAATCCCCACAGTCATCCATGCCGTCGCACTTCCACTCCAGACTCACACACACTCCGTTGGCACATTGGAAGGTATAGATGTCACACACTTTGCTGAATTCAGACGGTGCGGCTGAAAGAAAACACACAAGGAATCTACTTTCCACCCAGTCCAGCACAAGCTCTTATTTTCTTTGGATCCATGTAACCCATCTGTACTATTCATCTGCATTTATTGTATTTGGTTACAAAAAGCCAGCCTTCTATGTCATCATAATAATGACACGTCAGAAACAAGGAAATACCTGGAAAAGTTGGGAGTGCGACAGTAATCAAAGCAGTGATTAAAGAGCCTGATGCAAAACCTAACTGGAGGGATAAACAGATCCAAACACAAAGCACAAATCTAACGATCCACTGTTCAGGTGCACGGGTGAGTGGAAAACAAACTCAGCCTCCTCCTTTCTCCTTGTTTGGGACGATGATCATACGACACCTCTGCTTTATAAACTGGCCTGGTCAGGTGTTACAGGGTGACGGGTGGTCACAGGAGGGCTGCTGCAAACATGCTAAGTGTCACAGTGGAGATGCTTGGCGCTCACCACATTGTGCATACTCGGCGTCCTCATCAGAGCCATCTTCACAGTGTTTGATCCCATCACACACCAGAGACTGAAACAGGCACTGGGCTCGGTTCTGACATACAAACTCCATGTAGCGAGTGCACAGGGGATCTGTGGGTGACACAAGCGAAGAAAACACAATGACTTTCACAACAAATCAGACATGAGATCAGCAGAGCAGTCAGATGATTATATTCTCTCTCACAGTTACGATTGCATGTGAGGGTCTGACTGCTAAACTGTCTCCTAAACCAACGGGATCACTCACCACAGTTGTTCTCATCGGCGCCGTCTGGACACTCCTTGATGCCATTGCAGTGCGCGGAGGCTGGCAGGCAGGTGTGATTGGAGCACAGGAAGCCTTTACACTGAGTTCCCTCTAATAACAAATATCAATAAAGTATTACTGCTAACAGGAAATCTCTGCTTGCTTTGCAGGGGTGAAACATCAGGGTCTTGAGTGAGCTTACCACAGTGTTGGGGATCTTCGTCCGAGTCATCCTGACAGTCATCATCACCGTCACACTTCCAGCGCTGAGGTATACAGTGACCTGTGTTACACTGGAAACTGCTGGGCTCACAGGTATGGTGGCCCACTGAGGACACAAAGAGTTTTAATGAGTGGAGTTTAAAAATGTATGACAGATTTAAACGTTGTTAATGTGAAGTTTTCACAGCTACACACACTTTGTTACTGGCACTACTGATTATGCATTTATGTATGTCAATGTTTGGCACATGTTGATATATGTATTTATATGGGTGAATAAGCTATATAGTAAATATATTTTCACCCAGCACTTTGTAAATGTCTATATTTAGCTAAAGTTGAAACCAAACATCAGAATGGGGAAGAAACGTGATTCAAGTGACTCTGCAGCTGGCATGGCTGGTTGGTCTGAGTGTTTCTGAAACTGCTGATCTACTGGGATTTGACCACAATACTATGTCAATGGTTTACTGAGAACGGTGAAAATAGTAAAAAACAAGGGAAAATATCCAGTCGGCAGCATTTTCACTGTGTGAACATGTGCTGTTGATCCTAAAGGTCACAGGGTAACGGCTAACAGGAAGGAAACAGTAACTCAAATAACCAGTCAGTACAACCAAAATATGCAGAAGAGCATCTCTGAACACTAACATAACATGTCGAATCATGCAGAAGGTTGCTAGTCCAAGCTGGGACTAGCAAGGCGTAGCTAATAAAGTGAGCGTCAAGCATATACAAGCTAGCCTCAAAACAATAATAACCGTTTTCTAATTGTGTGGGTAGGAGAACAAAACTATTATAAACTGGAGAGTATTACAATAACTTACAATTTACTGGCTGTCTTTAATTTAAAAGTAACTAACAAACCCCAAAACTCACTAAAGCAGCCAATGAGAACCTGCTAAGCTAGTTAGCTTTAGCTAACTGTTTAGCCTTTTGTCCTCATCAGGAACTGATTCAGCTGCTACCTCAGTGAATTATGAGGAATAACAAACTGAATATCCAAAATAACACTATGACTATTATGCTGTACATTTCAGTGCCTGCAGCTGAGTCGTTGTGTGTTAGCAGTCATTCTGTGACTTTAACCGTGTGGTTAGCGGTTAGCGGCTGTGTAAATAGCTCTGTTTTTATGACTTTAAAAAAAAACACTAACTGCACTGTTAAAGGCTGTAGCTTTGTAGTTTTATTTTATGACTGTGAAGTTTACTGTAATTGTTTAGCGCTTACAGCTCACACCTTCTCTGATTTAACTTTGTGGGACATCATGTATGATGCTGAGTCTTTCTCACCAGTGCAGTTTGTTTCATCTGACCAGTCTCTGCAGTCATTGTCTCCATCGCAGCGCCAACTCTTGCGGATGCAAACACCACGTGCACACGTGAACTCATCGGGCCCACACTGATGAGAATCTGAGAAATACATCAAAGTGTTAAACAATGTTGCTGATCTAAACTAAAATATTTGTGTGATGACCCTAACCTAATTAACTTTCTAGTCTTCCTAACCAATGAAAGTGCTTTAATAAAAGTCACATTTAACCATACAATCACACAGTTTTATTAATGCGTACCACAGTTCTCCTCATCACTGTTGTCTCCACAGTCATCCTCATGGTCACATTTAAAGGCCAGAGGGATGCAGGAACCTGAGGCCACGCAGCGAAACTGGTTGGACGGGTCACAAGTCGTAGTGGCTGGAGAAGGACGCCAGGAAAAAAGAGCTTTGTTTCTATAGCAACAGTTGATTGTTTCTGTCATGAAGGCAGCAACGCTGCTGAGTACTTACGACACTCTTGTTCGTCACTCATGTCCCCACAGTCGTTGTCGCTGTCACACTTCCAGATGCTGCTGATGCAGCGGCCATTGGAGCAGCGATACTGGTTTGGCAGACAGCTGTGTTCTGGAGTCGAAGAAATATGCAAACATGCAAACTGTTAATTGTCGGAGGCTTCGTGTCCGTATATCTTACGACACGCGTCTTCCAGAAGCAGTACGTGCTTATTCTCACCCGTCTTGATGCAGGTGTTGTTGTGGAGCTGGTAGCCTTGGGGACACTGACACTGCAGCTCTCCGCTGGGCGTCGTTAGAGTCGGGGCGCCGTCTGGGCAAACGCAGGTGTGCCTGTGGCCGGGCTGAGGCAGACACAGCAGGCTGCACGGCTGGTCGGCACAAGCGTTATGGCCTGACGAGAGCAAGAACGCAGTTTGTTTCATTTAAACCTGAAGAAGACTGACAGCTTCATCACCTCCCTGCCTGGTCCTCACCTCTGTTCTTCCCCTTATAGAAGATCTTCAGGTCCATGACTCCAGTTAGCCTGCCAACAATCAGCTCGTTGTTTTGGGAACCAGCCTTTGGAGCTTTGAAGATTCCCATTTTAGACCAGTCATCCCAGTACAGGTCATTCTGAACACAGCATGCAGCGCGAAAGTGTGAACAATCCACCCAATCCATCAAGACTGAAACACACACACACTCATAAACATGTTGTTACCTTGAACACAGCTATGGCGTACGGGTGGGGCAGCCCCTCCATGAGGACGCGCCTCTGCCCTCCGATGAAGTCGGCCCTCTCGATGCGGTCGCTGTAGGCTTCGGTCCAGTACAGCCAGTGGTCGTCGGCCGTGATGCCGTTGGGCCATCGGACACCCTCGGACACGATGCGGGACACGTTGGTTCCATCCATGTAGCTTCGGTAAATGCCAGGCGCTTGGTCTCCCCAGTCAGTCCAGAACATCAGACTGGACATGGAGAGGATACAAGATTAGGAATTTGCACCGAATGCGCCCATTGGCCACTCTTTGACTGTGATTGGGCGCCAGGTCAAATATTTAATACAAGCTTAAACTCTAAGAGAGTGACAATGTACACAGAGAAGGGAGGAAGTGAGTGCAGTGAGTCAACCATACATTCATTTTCTGAGAAAGTGGAAAACGAGATCAGCAGCAGACCACAGGAATCCCGATGTCTCAGGAAAAGCAGAACTATGTTTGCAGAAGTGAAGCCAGATCTGTTTTCAGAGATGATCTTGTGGTCAGTTTGTCTGGTCATCCTTTTTAAAGGGTGATCAGAGCATTGTTGTGTTTTTACCTTAAGATCAGGTTTAAGAAAATAGTCAGAACCACTGGTGACCGATGTGTATTTTATGCTCCTGCTCTGCAGGTTTGTGTTTGCTGGATCTTTGCATGATTGCCTGAAAAAGGCAATATCAGCAAAAACTATATTTATTATAATTTCTTGTTCTTGACTGGAAATGTCAGCTTTTCAAATCAGCCTGAAGCTGCTCGTTTCAGATTCACTCTTTTAATCACAGGCTGTATAAAACTCGGTTCCTTTAAACTCTTCACCTCTCTCCGGGCAGCAGAACCAAAGCTCGCGGGTGTTCGAGGATGGAAGAGTTGAGCAGGGTGTGCCGCAGATCCCCATCAGGGTTTGAAACCTTCAAACATAACAGGGAAAAGTCAACGGTAATGAAGCTGTGTCAAGAAGACAGATTATTGTGATTATGAATATAATCTGACGACCAAAGAGGAGAACTTGGAAAGAACAAGCAACTGTTTTAGTTTGATAACCTCGCGACTGTGATGTGTCTGATATCCTGAGTGACAAACACTGACAATGTTTTCTATACCTCAATCTTCTGCGCTCCAGCATCCACCCAGTATAGCAGTCTACTGATGGGGTCAAAGGTCAGAGCCTCCACATTCTGCAGGTCTTTCCTCACGACAACCTCCTGACCTGTGCTGCCATTCAGACACAGGCGCTGCAGGACCAAAAGACACACGCAGGTCAGTAACAGCTGAATGGTTAAGCTCCCTCCGTCTCAGCCCCACAGTTAGCACCATGCTGTCCTGCTGTGAGAGAGCACACACCGACTGCATCTTCTAGAGGAGCCACTGACCTGTATGGTGTCCAGGGAGATGTCGGCCCAGTACAGGCAGTTGCGGTCATAATCAAAGTCCAGAGCCACAGCCTCCCTGAGGCCAGCCAGAGGCAGAGCCTGGTCAGTGCCCGTGGCCAGGTCGTAGCGATGGATGGAGTTCCTCACAGCGTACAGGATGAACTCATTACTCTCTGCAAAACCACAGGAGACAGCCTGAAGACAAACACTGGGACTACAAACGTGCACTGACACCGAGCTGCACTGCAAAGAACTTGAACGACTGACACAAACCGATTGGCTGCTTCATGTCGAGTAAATTCCTTCATTAATTTGAAAACATGATCTCTTTGATTCATTCAACACAGCCGTCATGTTGTCAAACATCCAGTTAGAAACGGCCCAGCTGCTGTTACCTCTCAGAGCAGGTCTATTATAGAGACTCTACTACTGACCCATACTCAATAACTACAACACAGCTAGCAGAACATTAAAAGTCAAGTTGAACTGTTGGACATGACGGTCCAAACATCTTGAGCCGCCCCTCATCTCTTCATGCTGTGAAGCAATGCCAGCACAAACGGAAGCTCAACTGTGTCGAGCTTGATCACGATTTTTGCACAGTGCTGTGCATCTACGTTTTTTTAGGGGTCTCTCATGCATTTATATGTAGGAGAAGCAGAAATGCTTAAAATAAAGGATGTTTATTTGGATTTCACCTTTCTCCCACAAAACCCCCACAGGTTACCAAGTCTGTGTGCCAGTCAGTAAAACTGGATGGTAACATTTGTTTGGAAACGTGACACCTTGAACTGTTCCACAGCACGCTCAGCTGCATCTTTGAATGTTTGGAGAAAGCAGATTACCTCCGACAGGACAAGGCAGCATCTCTCCATCCAGCCGGGCCTCCACATCTCCGCCGCTGCAGCTGTCTCCTGGTACCTTCCTGTAGCTGCAAGAGGGAAATAAAAGAGCTTTCATCTGTCAGCAACTTGGTGGCGTCCGAACAAAAACAGTGAAAAAAAGGAAGAATAACCAGGAAGGACACATTCAGTTACGTTGGTGTCGTTACTGGATCAATAAGGTTCTAATTTCAAATGACCAATCACATTGTAGTGATGTCATAGTTTTGTGATGTGGAAACATTGTCGCCCACACTCCCACGACCCTAACCCTAACGTCCAGCCTCGACCCTAACCCCCTCCTTTTTGGGATTTTTTCTTGAGTGGACATCGGAAGGTTTTTTTTCCAAGTCGCAAAACTATGACATCATAACAATGACCAGGATCAACATTGCACATGACAAATCACAGACGTCACCACGTTGATGCAGGAACAACACGAGGATATCTGCCAGAATCACTACAGTGTTCATAGCATGGGAGTTTTCTTCCAACACAGTTTGATTAAAAATATATGGTTTAGTAGATTTAGATTCCCCTTTAGCATCCGTTACTCCATTACTGCTGTGGACGACGGCATTATGCTAAGAAACTGCAGAAGAAGAACGGCAGGCTCTGCATTCCTGCACGTTAATAACAGCAGTTTACCCTTTGCTGCGGCGGTAGGTAGTACCAACAGGACAAGGAACGGGTGGAGCGTAGAGGTCGCCCAAGAACTCAGGGTCAGGCACGCACACCTGAAGGGACAAGTCCTCACTCAGCTTAAAGCCATAGTCACTGAAAGGAGGAAGAGGAGGGGAAACAAACAATATAGTGAGTTTCAGCACCTCCCAATAAAGAACAACAACACAGTATTTAACCCATGCATACACAGGGGGGTAGTCCTGCTTTTCTTTTCATTATTCTTGTTAATGCATCCTTTCAAATGAAATTTAACCTCTGCATCATAACATCGAGTCCTGGTGATAAATCATTATGAAATCAATCATGAAAAACCTGATATGTTCAGATATGGAGTAGAAAAAAAACTGATTAACAAATGAAGACTTCTGAAATCAAAGGCCTGGAGAGTTTGTGGACTCTCACCACTCGTAGTCCTGGCGTGTGCAGGAGCAGTTAGAGATGGTGACCGGCCGGTCAAAATCCTCTCCGTTAAAACACGTAGCGTGAGGCGCTCGCCTTTTGAACGTTATCTCTCTGCCCAGCAGACACTCATTACCGTGCTCGTCAGATGGGGACCAGTGCTTGTAGTCCTTCTCAGAACAAGGCACGCCTAAAGAAACATCCAAGGAAAAGTAGACATGATGTGGATCTGACAAATGAGTTGAAATATTCTTGATGGTATATTTATAAAGTCAGTATTTCTAGATAAACCTTTCTGCTGGCGTGTGTTGCTTAGTATTTATCCTTTGCCTTTCTCCTAGCTTTCATCGTTTCAAGTTACATATTTACTTTTAGAAGTAAATTAGCATTATAGTTATTTCCTATTATTAAATTGGAATATTGGTGATTAGAAATGACTTGGCTTGTTTTTGTCTTCCTTCTTTGAATTTTATTTAACCTTTAATTTTATTTGTTTATTTTTTACACAGTAACACATTTTTAAATAATAGAAACTTTTTATTAGTGTTAGCTGCTACTAGAATTTGGTGATTATACATTAATTTATTCCCAAGTTAATAATCATGTGTCTCTGTAAACCATTACTCCTTACTAGCCCTAGGGTCTTCTGGAATTAATGAAATGTAGTGCTCTTAGTTAACAACAGCAAACAGCTAGCATGTGCTTTCTGGCTATTTTAGCTCAAGTACAATCTTTGTAACAAAAATGTAAAGTGAGTTTATTTTTGGTACATGAGCAGTAGTTGTGTGCAACATTGCTACAGTGTATTACATTTTGTTACAGTTCATTCTCCTTAAAAACCCTGGATGCTATGCTATCACTAGCTACTGTCATTATGGTAAATGGTAAATGGCCTGTATTTGTATAGCGCTTTACTAGTCCCTAAGGACCCCAAAGCGCTTTACACAATCAGTCATCCACACATTCACACACTGGTGATGGCAGCTACATTGTAGCCACAGCCACCCTGGGGCGCACTGACAGAGGCGAGGCTGCCGGACACTGGCGCCACCGGGCCCTCTGACCATGCTAACCATGCGCACGTTGGCTACATACATGAACTTTAGGTGCTACAAGCAAATGTTACAGATCTTATAACAGTTTTATGATTGTATTCATCGATTAATTAATGAAATTCATTTCTGTCATCTAAATTATTTCATGTAGCTGCTGAGTTATGCTAGTTTTAGCTACAGTTACTACATGAGGTTATTAATCAGAGAACCAACCTGCAAGCATGCATCATCACTCTACAGCCATCTGAAATATCTCTGGACATTTGTTTGGACGATTATACGGAGGCACTATATGAATTGCTTACTTATTTTCAGTTTATATAAGAACTACATGTATAAAATCAAAAGTTACAGATGACTACAAATCACCCCTACAGCATTGGCTTTAGTCTAAACTGAGAAATAACTGTTTCTGCATTTAGCTGTTGTTGCTAAGAACTAAAGATCTCCATTCTCAATCGTGGACTTACCCAGAATGTCAGAGGTGTTGACCTGCAAGATGAGCCAGCTGTGTCTCTGCTCGGCATACGAGCCAAAAATGGTGAAGATGGTGCTCTTCTCTCCGGGCTCTGTCAGCAGCTGGTAAACGTACACTTCCTTTTCTGAGAACCGAAAGTCGGTCCACGTCTCGCCTTCATTGGTGCTGAACCTGACAGGGGCGTGGTATTATTAATGACCGTATCTTCTAAATGTGTTTGGTAGCAGCCTCTCACGTACTGTCGACTAAACATAACTGAGTAATGTTTGATCACCAAGGTTACCAAGTTATCAGCTCATCTGCTGCATGCCCACTCACTCACCGAGGGAACAACAGCAAGACAGAGAAGACAATCAGATGAAACAAACAAACATGAGTTAATATCAAATTAAAGTGGGAGCGCGACGTGTATTAAAAGTCGGGCTTAACCCAGTAATAGGGACATTTGTATGTATGAAGATAAAATCGGGTTACTGAGTAATCAGGGAAAGATAAAATGAATTATGGAAATGAAGCCAACTGGATACATATCGTTATAATACATCACTTTCATGAATTAAAGTTGGCTGCAAGGTAGGTGTTGGCACAGAGGTGTTTTAATCTAGTTCTGTTGATTAGTGGAAGGATTATTTGCTGTTTAACTCCAGCAGGCAGCTTCACATTCACACAGTCTGCTCCTGCTGGCTAATGGGCACGACCACACGGTAGGTGCTGTTTATGTGCTCCGCCTGCCAGATTTCTTAAAGCTGTCACAAGTTAACCTCTCTGGGTTTGAAGCTCCTGTCCGATTCATTTCCTCGGCTGGAGGAAGTTTAGGAAAGCCATCTGGACTTACTTCAGTTGTGTGGTGGGGCCTCCTTGTGCAATAGCCATCAGGATGCCGCCATGGTCACCCCAGGTGTAGAAATGAGGGCCTGCCAATGCCTAGATTACCACAAGCAGTGTGAGTGAGACATAATGTGCTTCACAGGGTTGAAGAAATTTAGTGTAAAGACAACAGTGCTGTTGTGTGGACTAGACGGTAGAGCTTTAAGTGATATTGACGTTCATCTAACAAACAAAAGATTCCCAGGTTGATCCTGGAGGGGGAGACACATGTCAGAGTCATCTGACACATAAGGAACCTGATTATAGTGATGTGTCTGATGTCAGGCGGCAATAAAGCTACTTTAGTGCCAGTTCTAAATAATCAAAGTCAGAACAATCCCCATCAATCTGCTGCTAGAATTAAGGACAGTAGAGTATGAGACTAATGAAGCACTAATTACTTTTGAAAATATCATCGATGTCCTTTGAACACTAAATGAATTAACAGTAACGTCCTTTCATGACATGTGGGCATGAGAACATCAGTCGTCTATGAAAGCTGAATAAAGCTCGAGCCTGTCTACAGGACTAAGCCTGAATAGTGACTTTTTCTTTGACACACAGTTTAGCCGTCTCCACTGTTCTTGTTGCTCTCAAACTTTGCACTGACCTCTCTCCACTGGGCTCCAGCGCTGCTGGATACATACACATTGGGTTTGTTGGCCAAGTTCCTGCCAACAGATCCTGCAATCAGAAGACAGAAAAGGCCTTTAACACACTCTGACTCCATATGATCGCTGCTTTTGTAACTCCGGAGTTTAAGCCAGAGCATTTTGAATCTTTTCATGCATGTGGCATTTGTATCTGCTGGAAATGAAATCCTCCAGGAACAATCTGCTTAGAACATTTTATAAAATACACAATGAAAATAAAAAAATTATAAAACATAAGGATGAGAGGCCTGCTTGAATCCGCCTACAGATGCTGAGATCCATCTGTAGTTCTGGAAACATCCACTAGGGAGCCAACATTGTTGTCCTGTGTTGGGCATTGTTCTGATACTGAGTGTCACATAGAGGCTGACATGTTTTACCCTGTCGTAGCCTACCGTGATGAAACTAAAGTTAAAATTTTAACTTTCTAATTAAAATCATTAGAAAGTTAAAATAATTATCTGCTTAGCTAAAGGCATTAGCTATTATTTAAAATGTAGCATGTTAGCATTTATCAGTGACAGAAGCAATGTGACAGCTAACACAACCTCACACAGCTGCTACAGCAGCGGCACTTTTTAGTGTTTCTTTAGATAACAACTGCAGCTTCATCACAGGGCTGATAACGAGGAAGCAGAGAGTAGAAGTAGAGTAGAAAATTTGAATGTGAAAAAAAATGTGAAGCAGACTGAAAATACTTTTTACGCCTGTTTACACAACGTTTATTTGCTCCAGCGCTCTTACACATTTGCACGACAGGTAACATTTACTTTGGAGTTTGGGAAGAAATTTTTATATCTTCGTCCAAATGCCCTCCAACATGCGTGTTAGTGTATCCCCCATCTATCCATCAGGAAAAGGATCAGGACCATCATTCTCTGTGTTTGACACTCGAGAACAGACAACAACCGCTCAGGACATCAATCACATTGAAATATTTCAGGGTGAATGACAGAAGCACAGATGAGAATGAGAGCAGCATGGCTGATGTGTCTCTGCTCAGGGCTGTAATAATGCCTCTGAAAGGAATTTGGTTCTCTCTCCCAGTAAAACGGGCTGATGACACTAAACGTTAAATATCATCACAGAAAGTGTCAGAGAAAAATAAATGGCTGCCACTGATTACAGCATCCTGCATGATGTCTGCGACAGAAACACAGTGGGTTCTAAATCAACCAATCAATGTGTGATTAAAGTGCAGATTACTCATTTTATCCTATTAACATCACAAATCCTTTCAAAAAGACAGAATAAAGGTCATTTTTAATGCCTTTGTTTAGATTGCATATATATTTATTTCTTTTATTCGACTTTGACTGTACAAGAAGCTGGAGCACTTTATTAATTTAGCGTGAAAGCACCACGAGGTAGAGGCTTTCCTCGGAGACGGGAGGTTCCCCAGCATCACTTCTTTGACCCTGACCTCTGTAAGACACCAGATTATGCCTGGACTCTGGCATGAGCTCTGATTATTATTGCGTAGAAAACAACTGCAATGAAAACCGCTGGAGATTTAAGACAGCAACAACTGAATACGGATTTCAATCCCACCTTCTAATGGTGGTTTTAATAGGGCCGCAAAGCAGGACCAGCTGGTCAGCTTGATTAAATTGATACTGGACTTGGCTGCAGACCAGTGTGTCACACCCTTGGAGGTTCTCCAGCATCACTCCTTTGAGCCTGGACTCTCTAAGAGTTCCCCTCACATGGACGGGAGGACACAGCAATAAAACCCTGTGATCTCTCAGCAATCGCCTTTGTTGTTTGTGTTGCCAATACTCGAGGGGAACCGGCAATTCTTGTGAACATTGTTTTAAAAAGCCTTAAAGAAAACCACCAAACAAATACAGTCTTGAACTTCAGTTCGGCACAAATCCATCACATAATCACTGCGTTGAGGTCTTACCAATATCAAAGGGAACAAATATTCCCGGGAATTACTGTGGGACAGTCATTCCTTGTACACCATGTTAACAGAGATAAGATACAAAATATATCTTAAATAAACCAGCCTTCAACATCAACTCATTCTTTAAACATACTTGTTGCCGTCAGAGCTACTCGTCAGCCTCTTAGCACTTACACCTGTGGTAGGAGTCTGCGTACGTTCAGGAAAGCTTCAGAATTTTAGTAGCTGCACCTGTGGTATTGATTTGAAAATTCTACATCGCCTTGTTCTGGAGTTATCGCATTCATCGGGTGTCCAAGTTAAATCGCACCTATGCGAGTTGTCACACGATTTTCAGAAAACCTGGCCTCTGACATCATCATGGTCACTAAGATTTGAACACCTGGTGTCAATTTCAAAGTCCTATTTCACCTCACAAACTCACAAATCTGCATGACCACCCACCTGCCTGGCAGAGCGAAAACACCCTGTACCCAGCAGAGAGGGTAAACGATCCGAGAGTTTTCCAAGGAAGGAAATGAGATATTCTTCAGTAGCCAGCGTGTTTGGTTGTGTACAGCTGCAATGTTTCTGTGTTAACTGTAAAAACAAGGTGACTTTCGCGATAATTTTAAAGAGGAATGCACAACTTTGTCATTTAAAATTCAAACTTGCCAACATTTCTATGTTGTGTTGTGTTTCATCTTGATTTTATCATTGTTTGGTTTATTTAAATTTCATATGGTGTCTGTGGTTTTCTTGGTTTCATCCATGTTTTAAAAGTCGACTGTTTACTTTGATAGTTTATGCTTTTTCTAAACATTATCGTGTTTTATCTCAGTTTTTTTGGTTCTTTTGGTTTCTCTTGATAGTCTTATGTGTTTTGTAGATGTGTTGTGTAAATGTTCCTGCATGCATTTTAAATATCATTACAATATCTTTTCTTGTATTAAATAAATTGAACTACAAAGACAATAACAGACCGAACATAACTGACACCAATGGAAGCCAACAACAAAACAATGAGAAACCTCGACAGTGAAACAGGACGGATGGAGGCGGGATCCAGGTGCGATCTACAGCAACTGAAGGATTTGTTGCCAACATCATGATTCCGAACCAGGAAAACTGCGACGGTTTCATGTGAGGACTTTGGGCTTGGAGACGTACCCGATGTCACTGAGGTGGTTTTAATGTTGGTGTATACTCACAGCACAGACTAATCAATGATATTTAATATTTTGTAAATAAGAAGTTAAACTGCATGGAACTAAAGTGTTTCCTGTGGTGGTCGTGCATGTTCATCCCTGCACTCAGGACTGTGTTTGACCCGTCAAGTGCCCGCCGGGTGCTGCAGCAGTAATTAGCTCATCTATCTAAGAGAGCGATAATGAAGCACATGGTGGCAGCAATTGGCAGCGCTCCTTCCTCCTCCTCTGCTCACCCTCCCTTTTTCTTGCATTCTTTCCATGCCCATCATCTAATAAGAATTTAATTAAAGAGACAGGCTGGTTGCAGTCTCCTAAACACTGCAGAGTATCAACAAATCAGTGCTCTCGACCAGCTGTGACGAGGCAGAGACAACTCAAACTGCAGCCATAATGTCTCTGCAGCACTGACACTGTTTCCACTTCGCTCTGAGGAATTCATGAGAATTGAACATGTGGTAACAGTTTTCACATTATTTATGTCTTTGAGATTTAAATTGCAACTGTGTAACTGTAATGAGAAGCAGGACAGAGGTTTCAACAATGATGCATGAAGCAAGTTTCTAACACATATCTCACAAGGTGCAATGCTATTTCCTGTGTTTTCAGCAATACAGGAAGTGGCCACATACTAAGAGAGACAGAGGCATCTCAAACATCACAGACTTGTTTGCCTTGCACTGGATATTTGAATCAGTGTTATCATAAACCAAGAGGAAGTTACTGAAAAGTACAACAAGCCATCCTCCAACAGATGGCACTGAAACTCTCCTCATCTAGCTCTTAGGCTTTCGTCAAAGCTCTGGGACATTTCTTCCCTGTTCACAACAACCCCAGAGGTTTCTAGTAGTGCAACTATAATTTGACTCGAGTTTGAAAGTTTAAGTTCACCATCTGTAAACTGAGTGTGAGACAAAAGTGTTGGACCCATTAAAATCTGTCAATGTTTGACTTCACTGCTTGTAGTCTACGTCCTACACAGGAAGGTCGAATGAGCTGGGGGAAAGAAATCTATTCATAATGAGGAATCCATGAAATCCAAGAAAAACTTTTATTCCGTGTTATCCCACCTGTGGCCATAATAAGTCCAGGTGCAGAATCCTTGGATAAAATGGGTATTCTTCTTAGCTGGATGTTAAACAACTGGCTCCAGCGCTGAGCCAGGTGAAGGGAGCAACCTTTACTGAGCTACGAGGGAAAAGCAGAGGAGAGAAAAGTTAGATGACACTTAGCTGTTCAATTCACAGGATTCATATCTACCTGATTTGAGCTTTTCTGCGAGATCAGCAGTTCACGTTGGGGGATTGAATCTTACCCTAAGATTCCTGCTCGTGGTTAAACTTAGCTAACACTAGTATGCCTGCTAACACGAACGATTCAATTCAGTTTTATTTATACAACGCTAAATCACAACAACAGTCGCCTCAAGGCGCTTTATATTGCACAGTAGACCCTACAATAATAGATACAGAGACAAACCCAACAATCATATGACCCCCTATGAGCAGCACTTTGGCGACAGTGGGAAGGAAAAACTCCCTTTTAACAGGAAGAAACCTCCGGCAGAACCAGGCTCAGGGAGGGGCGGGGCCATCTGCTGTGATTGGTTGGGGAGAGAACAAATTCCAGTTTAGCTCACCAAGCAAGTGTTTAGGGGTTAGCTAACTCCCAGGGCTGACCTGGTAGCTTAACTGGCCTTTTTCAAATTGCTTTATTAACTAATATTAAGAACTAACAATCGGCAAATTCATGCAAAATATATTATAACTAGCTGGTTAATCTTCTTGTTTGCTAACATGTCAATACTGAAATCAAGTGTGAGTGGAAATTTTAGTTGGCTAACCCACCAAACTGTTTCACCAGCTAACATGAGATGTGATACAAACTTGTGTTTGCTGATTTTAGGCAGCAGTAACTGGATGCTCAGTCATTCATGTAAGGAGATCCCAGAGACTTCAAGCTGTTCCTGCAGTTTGCTCTCATGTACTAGCTTCAGATAGTTCTGGACTGAAGAAGCCACTTGGGTGAGTAACAAAACACTGAAGATGCAACGTCCATATAAACAGCTTCAGCTTTCTTGGTTTACAAATGTGAGATTTTGTCTAACTTGGGAAACGAATTGGACTGAGAAAAATAATTTTGTTGCATCAGGTCAAATTTTTAGTTCAAATCATTATCAAGACATACAGAGGACGTCTACAGCCATCAGCTCTGTCATGGTTTGGAGCTGTGGTGTTGGAGAGCGAGAGAAAAGTGGAGAAATTATGAACACAAAAAGTTCCAGCAGATTTGAGCTTATTGGTTCTGTTAGTCAGACAACAAAGTAATGTAGGACTATTAGTGGCAACTAATCAATCCATCGAATGGAAATCTGATGAAGTAATAGAAGTTTATGTTTCGTGCTTCTGTGGGAAAGAAACAACTGAAAGCAATAAGTTAAACTTGGCGTACCTGGCAGTCTATGGTTCCGCCCAGGCTGTCGGTAGCAGGCGACTGAAGCAACTCCCACGTCCCTCCCTTGTCGAACGTGATGACAGATCGCATGTTGTCCTCGCTCACAGAGCCGTTGATGAGCGTGGCGATGTAGACGCCCCTCAGCCCCTCCACACGGTGCAAGTCTGCAAACGGCTCATTGGCAAAATACCTGCGCAGCAAACGCAAACATGGTGGCAGGGTCAGAGAGGAACATCTGAGGTGATTCTGTAATATTTAATGTCAAGGTAATTATCTATTTCTACAATACAACAATACAAATTATCTACAATATTTAAAAGGAAGGAAGGAATTGTGTTTTTATTCAACGTGATCATATTTTCATTATTTTACTTCAATGATAGAGCTCTGGTTTGCACTCCCACCCTGTCCACTGAACACTGCTGTCAGTTTGTTTTTCCTAACTGTAACTTTTGCACACTTTATCCTAACACCCAATCCCAGGACCACGCTTTGGACCCTTTAAAGATGATTTCAGTCAGAACCACAGAAGCACAGAAAGTAATATCATCAAGTTGTTCAAACGTAGAACATGAGGCAACTTTTACACACAGCAGAGAGGTAAACAGGAAGCATGAAACTCACAGTCTGATGCTTTGTTTCAGAATGAGTCATGAGAAACAGAAGACAGAGAAGTGTTAACAGCAGACGCTGTTGGATAAACAGAAACAATCAGCTTTGGCAGGAAGCTAAGCCAACACTGGGACTGCCTCTGCAAAACTAACACCAGATCGTCCTCGTGATTATGTAGAAGGCAAACAATGACTACAGCTATCAGCTGAATGCACTATTAGAAAAGGATGTACTGCTTTCAAGTGTTTGCAAAACCTATACTGTTACCAAGCATTTGTAAAGACAGCAAGAGGCCTTCCTGTCAGTTGCTGTGGTTTCTATGGGAACAACTCAATTACTGGCAAGGCTGCAGATAGTGCTCGATTTGTCCTGCAGGTACAGACTGCAGTCATTTTTATCTGCTGGTACAATTTGGTTCATCATGTGATCTGCTCATTTACTTATCTAAAGGAAAAGGGGAAAAATCACTAAAGCATTAAAAGCAAAGAGCCAGCTGAGACGGTCCAGGCGCCTGTAAGGAGGCAGGCTGGATGAAGGTGTTCCAGACACATTCGGCTGTGGGACCCAAGCACCTACAATGGTGAGCAAACCCATTCAGACCATTACATTAGCATCTTGTAGAGGCCCAGTTACAACTTTGAGTCTACTTACATCAGTCTGGATTCTGCACACCTGGCTATGGCAAGTTTATCCCTCATGCTGTCCACACACTCTTTGTACTTGTGCAGTGCCCAACACATGGTTCATATAAGGACCCAGCAGGGACTGAACAGATCTCAGTATGTTCCAAATCCACCGCAGTGCCCTCGCCAAAGGATTTTTATTGAAACTGGATTATGTGTTTTTAGTTAGCCTGACAATCTGTTAACGAGAGGTTTGCCCTTTTGTATCCAAACAGGTAGGTGTGTGTGTGTGTGTGTGTGTGTGTGTGTGTGTGTAGTACCTGATGAGTGTGTTGCTGCCAGAGCTCTCAGGACTGTAATACAGCACGTTCTCCAGCGACAGAGAGAAGGCGAGACCCTGTGTGTCTGAGATGTAGAGGTGTGTGACGTTGTTCAAGTGGTTCACACACACGAACACTTGGTCCTCAGATGCATCTGCTATGTAGTACTCCTGTGGGGGGGTCGGGGGGGAGAGGGGGGGGGGTCATCTATAGTTCACTGACTTAAAGGTCCGATTAGACTCGATGCTCTGAAATGGGAACGTGTTGTGTAATGTTTTTTTAGAAATGGGAACAACAAATGTTCAGCTGTTATGTTTCAATGTTTTTATTGCTGTTGCTGTCTGTCTGTGCTCCTCCACATATGCTGAGAACACGCATTTAGTCTTATATTACACCTTGGACGTCTTTATTTCCAGGAGTTTCACCTTAATGAGTCAGTTTCAAAGTTTTGTGCTTACAGCCTGAGGCCTTTGAGTAACCGGTCACATGGCTCTCTGATGGATCAGATATGCATGTATGCATGAATCAGCATCAAAGGCTGCATGCATGTAGCTGCAACCTGGAGCACAGATCACACATCCTGTTTAAAATGACAGAGCTGAAGCTGCTTTCTTAGCAAACCCTGTTTATAGCTGTGAACACACACCGAGTGAAAGTCAATACTTATTCAGGTACTCTCTGCAGCAATACTGTACAGTTATTTAACCAAAGGTCTGACAATAAAACATTTCATGAATAAATAAAGAATATCCTTATGTTTGTTCAAACTGACACCATCAGCAGTAACAGCATAAACACTCTGCACCACAGACTTTATATAAAAGCTGTAGCTACCATGACATCACACATAGTTTCAGGATGCATGTGTTGAAGCCTCAGCAAAAATATTTTGGTTCCCAACGTGTTGGTTTTTGAAGTTCCTAGTTATTAGTTAACAGCTGTTCCTACAAACTGTGTCAGGTTAACTAAGTTCAATCAAAAACCTGTGAAACAAACAGTGAGTTGTGTTATTTATCAGTTTAAAATGTTCCAGCACTACAAATACGGTTCAAAGTTACGAGTTGAGTCCAAGCAGCTGCGTGTTCCAGCACACTGGTCGGTTAAATCAACCACTCCCATAATTTAAGCATGACAAATATTTGAGCGAGTTTATAAAATGATAAAGCCTGTACACGTCTTACAAATTGGGAAATTAGCTAAAGAGAACTAAATGTTTTTTCTACCAACCTGTAAACATGTTCTTGGCTAAGGTTTGGTATTTTAACATGACAGTCTAAGGTTTCACTTTTGGCATCGGCCTCCAGTGGCCATTTGAAGAACTGCACGTTTGGAAATGACACATTGGCTAACTTCCGCAGTCCTCAGTATTCGCTGTGTGCTTTGTACTACGAGACTGATTTAAGACCATCTGACGGGACTGTACCTTTGCTGGCTCACGGACAAATGTGTTGGGTAAAGCACTTCTGAACACAAGAAAAAACACTCACTGTGATTGGATGGCGGGTCATAAACTGGGCTGCTTTCATTGGCTGGCGGTTGTAGGACACCCAGAGCTGAACAGATGATGGTTCGTGGCTTCCCAACAGTTTCTGGACATAGATACAAAACAAATCACTCAACCTCTCCTCAGATTTAGTTTCTCGGCAGCTACAGCTTGGAGTTGGCACACAGGCTTCATTCTAACGTAGAACTTCATGATGAAATCCCAACAGAACAAATGTAAAAAGCTTTGACGGCTTTTGGAAGACTGAGAAGAACCGAAGAGGCTCTTCAGACCCCGTGGAACTCTGGACTATTTATTTTGCACTAGTGTCGTGTGTGGGCAAGGCCTGGAAAATGACCTGAAATTAGGAGAAGAGACTATGTGGACTGTCCTGATAATGTTTTGCTGCTGTGACACCCCCGCGGTACAGAGCTCAACAGCTGAGAGACAAATCATTAAAACGAGCTGGATTAAAAAGTCTCTCAGACTCCAAGAGCACATCTTCACTGTCATGACCGTGTGTGTGTGTGAACACACTCACACACTCACACACACTGGATTGAAGTGTAATTGTCCTGACTCCTGTTGTCACAGTTGGTTTGTTATCGATTTGGCCTTTTTTAGTCACACAGAGAAATCAGGATCTTTCTTTCAGCGATTTCTCGTCCGTCTGAAAGGAGAAAATAACTTCATGGACGGACAAACAGCATATTTTACATCCCGCATAAAACTACTGGCTGCACTCATATTTCATATTTTTCAAAATAATATCACTGTGTTAGTAATGTGCACCTCAGGCCTTCTGTAAATGACTCCACTAACATCTGTACAATATTAGGACTCCAGTATGGGCTGCTGCTCCAAACACAGCACTGACAGGACGCTTCTGGACGTCAGTGCAGATGTCCTATTCAAAATCTACAATATACATTTCTTCACAGTGACACTTTTTCTGCCATCCTTTCCCGACTATCTCAGGTTTCCTGTCCTACAGTATGTTCACCAAATCAACTGTCCCTCGATACCTGACGATATCTTTGTTCTTCCAGGGAATACAGATCCTGCTTTGTTTTTCCTGTGGTAGCAAACAGAATGATCTCCTGTTTGCTCTAGTCTACGCTCAGAGATGTTTTCCTTTCTGTTAATAACCCAGCCCTCTGTGCCTATTAACGTTCCACTCTGTACTCCTAATTTCATTGTCTCCACAGCTCATGTACTCTGTACCTTTCCCGTCTCACCCTCCGCTCTCCTGGCTGGAAATTCAGTTTGCTGTTGGATGCAGTTCAAGTTTGCGGAGAGCCAAGCAGCTTCGTTATATTATTTCTGATTAGGCTGGACCACCCGGCTATAAGAGCAACGTCCTCTAGAGAAAGAAGGTTTTAAAAGAATAGTGAAATGAGGTAACTGCAGTAAGAGAGGGAGGGAAAAAAGATTCTGGAGTTGAAGAGAAGAATAGTGGGAGAGAGGAGCGAGCAGGAGCTCAGCTTTAGAAAGCAATAAAGACTGAACAAAGAAGTCAGGATGGAATTTAAAGAGCAGAGCTGCACATCCAATATTCATTTTGTCTGGACTGTCAGAATCCACGTCATGCTACACGAAAAGAGCCAATCCTAGATTTGTACCAACAGGAACGGGAGGAGAACCTCTGACATGTTTTTGGGGGCAATAAACACTGAATGACTCATCACACCATGTTACCAAATGACAGATAACTGCAGCCTAGCTTAATGTTCATAAGCTGGAAATGACATGAGAATCATAAAATATAAGCTTACAATATAACATTTTCTAATGTAAGAGCTAAATACTTAATTTAGCTCAGCATGAAGATACAAGTAGCAGGAAGCCTGGCTTTGTCTGCAGCTAGAACAACAAAAATGTGTGCATCTATCAATTATAATAATAACAATATGTAAATAAATGATTCCAGTCCATCAAAACTTAGATTTTTTTTCAATTGTGGGTTTGGAAATGAATTAGTTTCCTTCTTCACACTCCGTGTAATCACAGTTTTAATGTCAGTTTACTTTGTGAGTCAAGAGGAAAATTGGACTGTAGAACGTATTTTCACATGTAACTATATATTTTTCCACTGCAACCACATATTCCCCTCCAACAGCAGCTGTCAGCAAGCTTTGCATTACACACTGTTCCTGTTCTCTCAGATCCCTGAAACGAGAGATTCTTGGACCTGAGATCAACTCGGATGTTGGATGGCAGACACTAGGACAGTGTGAAATGGAACACAGTCTACCAGAAGGATCAACTGTGACATACAGGAAGACTAAAATGTTATCCAAAAAAAGCCAAAAACTCACAAGAATTCTATCCTTGTGCCACATGTGTAATGGTGTGTTTTAAGGATGGTGGCGGAGTTCCACAGGGCTCAATTCTGGGTCCTCTACACAACACAAGGACTCGACTGTGTCCATCTACAGTGGGTATGCTACCCAGCTATGAGCTTGTTGGGTCAACAAAGGGGGACCAACAATTTTTGTAACTTCAGAAAACCAACAATCCATCATGTACAGATACTCAGCAGTTCTCATGCTTTACCCGACTTTTTAGCTAGTGAGATATTCACCCGCCTTCAAATCCATTTTAATCAGCTGCTGTTAATAATAACAGACCAATAGTCTTGTCTATTAATGTGTTAGCCCGAATATAATTGCTTTTATATTCTTTATTAACTTTCAATAATTATAAAACCAACATTAAAATGCTGTCAGCTAAATACCATCCAAAACTGCACTGATGTAGGTGTTTGTGAGGTCACAGTGCGTTTACCTTATGATCACTTTTACATTTGAAATGTTACGGTATCGTTGTGAAATATTAACAGAGGTTAAATAAAGTAGCAGAGGACAGGATCCTTTGATCCAGGACAGTCTACAGGGACAATGTTATTATAAATAAATAAATGGGCAAAGTTGATGAAAAGCAATCTACTGACACTCAGATATATATTCAGGTCATGTGAGCCTGACCTTGATGAAGCGATACCCTCAGAATCTCCCCGTCATCAGAAACTACCTTCTGGTATTAAAGAAATCCCAGATGCTGAAAACATGTGTCTGAGTCTCAGTTAAGTTACAGTGTTTATGTTAAATCTCACAGTTTTTTTCATGAACTTCTCTAAAAATAACACTCAAGTGCAGCCCTAACATGTCCTCATACTTCCTGTTTGAGAAAACAGCCACAAGGTGACATTTGTTAAAGACTAGATCAGAGAGAGAGAGCACATGTTCACTGTTGCGTTTTTCGTTGTTGTTTTAAGGCTGCCATTTGATTATAATGAAAGCACCTGCACTGGCTGTGAAACGAGCTGGAAATGTCACGAGTAAATCCTCGGAGGCAGGAAGCCTTCTGTTTGTTTCTCCCGAACGCTGTGCACGAAGGCGACCAAAAACTTTGCTGCTTTGCTGTTACAGAGTTACACAGTGTAACGCCAGCATGTTTCTCCTTTTATATCTGCAAATTCTCTGATCGAGATGGTTTTAAGTGTTTCCGTCCTTTTTAATGCAAATGCATGAAAACATCTGTGTGTATAGCATTTTAAAAAAGATGAGAGAGATCTGAGCAACAACAACAAGTGCAACAATTAGTGTTTATTTCATATCAACATCATCTATGTACAGCTGGACAATACTGTTTATCCCCTGTGAAATCAAAAACCAGTGCTTTTTTAACACAGCAAGGGATTTTTAACATAGCATGAAGGGTTACCAGGTTTCTTTAGAAATCGTAATGTGGACAAAATAACAGAATTATGCCAGAAAGAATAAAAACAATATTATTAGCCCCTGTGCAGTTATGTGCTATGTAATGCTCTACGCTTGGATAATAAAGATAAAACTGACGTTTTTTCCCAGTTTACACGATATTAAAACTTGAGCTGTCCTTTGGTACAACCTGCCAAAAACAAAAGCAAGAACTGGACGAGACGCGTCATCAACAAACTCAAAGCAAGCCGCTCAGTATATAAAACAAGGAAGTGAAAGAATTCAAATTTCTGGTGAAATGTGTTGAAAGACCCTGATGACTGACTTAGCCAAGGCAGGAAATTATAGTCTCAAAGAAAACAATCACAGAGACTGATGGTTACAGATGGAGAAAAACTCCACTTCTGCAGCAGAGACACTTTCAAGCCAGGCTGAAGTATGCTAAGGACAAGCTGGAGAAGGATCATGGACACTGGAAGCACATTGCTTGGTTAGGTGACTACACTAGAGTTTTTTTACTGCTTATTTTTGGAGAAAGAAGGGAGAGGTGTACAACCCAAAGAAGACCCACCCCACACGGTGGTGGGAGTATTACAGTGTGGTGCTTCAGTGGATCTGGAACTAGGAATCTTGTCAAGGTGGAAAGAATCACCAGGAAAGGAGCATGTGGGCAGATTTGGAAAGAAACCCTTATGGACAACTGGGCCTGAGTGGCTGCTTTGTCTTTCAATGTGGCAACAATCCAAAACATCCAGGTAAAAAACTACCAACAGAAGATCAAAATGGGAGCTGTTGACTGGTCTGCACAAAGTCCTGACCTGAAACCAACTGGGATGATGTAAAGACTAAGGTCTCTGCCAGAAGATCATGAAATCTGGAGGAGAGACTCAAAGAACAACAGGCTGGGATTGCTCTGCGTGAGACTTGTTGACAACTATAACAGCTGACTGCAGGCTGCTGTCCAGCAACAAGGAAATCCAGCTCTTTGTTTACTGTAACTTCATATGACGCACGACTGGATTAATCCGTATTTATGTCGCCTTGGTGTAGCCGCCCATGTAAAACGTTTGGAACAAGCTGCTTTAGCTACTTCCCTTCAAGCTAACTTCCTCCTGATTGGCTCCCCCTCCCCCGTACAGCATTTTTGAACAGGTGGGCGGGGCTTGTGTGCTCACAGCCTGAGATACGTACCTGAGGAGACCAATATCTACTCTGTGCCATCATACAGAGACAAGGGTAGACAGACCAGCCTGAAACAGAGCAGTCTGAGCTTTTGGTTCGTTGGGGTCATTTGTAAATATACACTGATCTCAATCACTCCGTGTCAGCCACTGTAACAACTGCACACGACAGAGTGAAAAGAAAAGCATAACAGATTTGATTA